ATTTTTTCATTTTTCGTTCAATTCTATGGTTTTTTTTTTTTTCCATCGTTTAATCCGTCAGGTAGTTTTTGTAGCCGGGTACGTAAAAGCAATTGTATTTCACTACAGTCCACTGTTCACCGGTTTTACACTTTCCGAAGCGAAATAACTAAACAATTATTTGGATACAAAACAAACACGAGATTATTTCGTCTGTAAACGATTCGTTTGGTTATCTTTTCCCCGACAACGGCCGTCCACATTCGATCGCGGTCAAAATAATTAATTAACATGCCTGTTACATACCCTGTATATTGTCACGGCGGTGTGAGAGAATTATCGTGCTATACGCAAAACGGTGTTATCGTACGTACGACGTTCGTATACATGTATTATATTAATATATTTTTTATTTTTTTTTTTTTCCGAAGTCGTAATTAGACACCTGGCGCTCTACGTTTCCTGTAGCAACAGCAGTAGGCGGGATGTAATATTATTTACACGGAACGAAATTTTGCACCGCGACAGCTGTTCGATCGCTCCGGTAAGTCCGTACCGTACACTTATTATTATATTCAATATTTTATAAAATGTAATTTTTTTTTTTTTTTTTCTGCTCGACGTATATTACGACCGCATAGGTATTCGCATGTGCGTACCTACGTATTATCGTATATAAGTATGTCTAGTATACTATAGCTGCAAACACAATGAACGCCCAATTATTCGCTTTCTCCGGGCGCGCGCGCGCGCGCGCTCGCTATGGCCATCATCTCAACGACCTCAAGTACCTATATAATATTTATAATATTGTATTATATAGCCGTCTGTTATTATAATGATAATGTACGAAATTCGAAATTCGAAAAAAAAAATAAAAAATAATACGTATACTCCGTGTGTGCCCGAGTATACGGGGGGGGGGGCGGTTCGGGGAGTGAAACAGCAGGGCGGAATTTGTACGCCGAAAATATTATTAGCGACGACGACGGCAAAACCTTGTGAAAAAAACGTATTCCCATCACAAACAAAAACCACAACGATTACGTTAATGAATACGTTCGTATATACATCGTGTAGATTCATATTGAAACATCGATTGAATGCGCGAGCAAACGAAAATAATCTGTTTTCCCCGTAAAACCATTAAATTTGGACTCGACTGCCCCTCCCCCCCCAAGGCCCCGACACTGACAAAACGCCCGTGAGCAGCCGCAGAACTTTGTTACTAGAATCGAATTTCCACCCAGTCGACTCGATACCGTTAAAATACGTATTTATATTACAGTAAAAATGAAACTTCCTATATAACGGTCACCGAAGGGACCGGAAATAACGGCCGCTATTCAGAGGTGACCGTCCTTTAGAGGTTTCCTATAGAAGCGTACCACTTGACGGAACCAAAAAAAAAAAAATCACCGTTACATAGAGGTGACCGTCAACGGAAGTTTTACTGTATACTTAATTAAATTAAATTTGTTTTTATTTACGATTTATATTCACCAGACAGACGCGTCTACTCACTCGCCCGTACAAACCTAAACACCCTACTCCCGCAACAACACGGTGCCGCGGCGAATTTCATATCGGATGTGCGCCTATAAAATAAAAAAAAAAAAACTCTCGTTCCCGAGTTTGAGCTCATTTAGTCCAGAGGTAGCCGCTACAAATGGCCAGGGCAAAACGAATATAATATACAACGTACGGCAGTTTATACAACTAACACAATGCAGTGTGTACGCAGTCTTTGGTTTTGGGGGAAAATTCGACAAAAAACGCAAATTTGTTCAGCTATATATGCCTGCAATTGCCGTTACAACTATAACTCTGCTATCGACTTTACGTACAGAGTATTTTTTTATTTTTTTTTCGTACAATTTATATGAACACGGCTCCGCTATACTCTACCACCGCCCACACTCAAAACTGGAATATCTCGACAACGGTCTGACGGATATTAAAAATGTCGACGCCAACATTGCGTGCAGTAGACTACAAAACTTCGTAACATATTTACGGAATTTTTAATATGGGTTTCTGTTTGAAAATCAAAAGCGGGTAGCGGTTTCGACCTCTAAAATAAGGGTGAGAAAAACTAACGGCAGCGTAACATTATAGAGCGGTTCATTTTTAAAAATTGTCAAAAAAAAAAAAAAAAACAAAGTCAATACTTTCCGAGATAATGGGTGTCGATGAATGTTCACGCTGTATAATATGTATTTTTTGTTTATGTTTCGTAAACTATCAATTCAATAGATACGTGTTAAAAATAATTATAACGCTCTACGATTGTACGATATTTTGACTTACAGAAAAAAAAAACAGCTACACACACACACACAAACAACAAACATCGCTATATTATCATTGCCACCGGGATAACGAAATATCGCTTACCTGGTATTTATTCGAGAGCGTTGTGCAACTGCGCGTTGTTTTCAACACGTTTCGGGGTTATAAATATAATTTTATTCGTTTATGCTGCACCACAAACATTGCCCCGCGTCTATATACGCCGCTAGATAAGAAAACGATAATGAGCTACAGGCCGTCTAGATGGTACGCGGCGGTAATATTTGCGAGTTTACCGGGAAACGGAGGAAAAAAAATAAAATAATAATAGTAAAAAATTCTTACGAAAAATCCGAAAAAGAGTTCGGTATACAGGTACGATAGACAGTATGCTATGACGAACACTACGGCGGCGCTTAGTGCTTACGTTTAGTTTCCGAATCGTCGTGTGTTAGAAAAAAAAAATTCAAAAAACCCGCCATAATATTATATGGTCGGTTGACGGTAAATCAAAAGCGGTTAGTAAAACGTAACACATAAATTGTTATCAAAAACACGGCTTTCGTTTAAAACGCGAAAAAACAAAAATTGTCAACTCGCGTTTACGAAAATAATAATTAAATTAATAGAGATTTTGAATTTCGGATCAATTTTGTCTGAATGATTTTTTTTGATTTTTTTAAAAGGTTAATACCGCAGACGGGTGTGTCACGCCGGTTTCATTAAGGAATTCGGAAGAGATAGGGTATAATATAAGGCCACGCTTTATAAACCTTTACTAACGAAAAACGTGCCTGAGGACCTGAGCAGAGTATCATTATTGTTATATTTTTTCATCGAATCCATTTTCCGTCCAAATTCATTAAATCGACAGAGTCCGGAGCAAGATTTCTGATAGAAAAGTTGTGAACAGGCGTGAAAAAAAAAACACATCATAAAACCAATACAATTCCCTTCGTTTCGCTAAGAATCTATAAAACTCGATCATCTTGACAGTCCAGGATATTTCATATCCTAGCTGAATTGGAAACAAAAGCCCGATCGAATGAATCGTTTTCATAGTACACACGAATATTATCTTTTTAGCCTTAAAATCGAGTGTTTGCGATCTAATCGATTTTTAAGGAAACGACGAGTTTTTGGCTTTGTCTTACACACGTGAGATATAAGAATGTAGACGTGTTTCATTTCCAGCGTACCGATTGATCTAGTGAAGCGATAAAATTTTGAAAGCAGATTCGAATTTGTCGTGAAGTGTACTTGAGCTCGATTTTTCCACTTTTAACAAATTTATCTCCTTGAATTCTAAACAAAGTAGTCACACTAATAAAAGAGTAACTGAAAAAATAGAATATTTTAGTTTTTTGAGAAATTGAAATCGAAAATCGTCGCTTCCAATCACCTTAACGACAAAAATGATCGTCTGTCCGCGATAGGTTCGGTTAGGTAGTTATAGTAATTAAATTTAGACGGAACATTTAGTTTTTTTAAATTTCGGACTTTTATTCCATAAAAAAAAAAAAAAAAAACGTAATTTTCATATTGTTGTCTCGGCAGCGTTATATTTCATGGGCTTTTATTGGTACGCGTGTATGTTATACGGCAATATTATCTCGGAGCAAACTCAATTGATCATTGTTAATTTTAATTAACTACGCATCATAATAATATTAATTAAGATTAATAATTACCGTGTCGGTTTACACGGTCAAACCGTACGCACGATATCAATTGCAATAATAACGGAACATTTGGACGCGCGTTTATAACATTTATATCGCGGAATTTTCGCCGCGCGGCCGTAACGCGCGCGCGCGGGGTCCGCCGCGCCGTACCGGTCCAACGTTCGGGCGCAACAGAAAAACCGGCGTGCCGCGATAACCGCGCCGCCAGAGACGGCGGCGGTGAAAAGCGAGCGGCGGGCGGGGCGGGGCGGGGCGGGGCGGGCGAGCGAGCGCGGAGAGCGGCGGGCCCGGCCGTTGAGAACGCCCGAGCTAACCTCGCCGTTGCGCGTCCGCCGAAAATAACGCAACGACAACGACGGCGACGGCAACGGCGCGAAATACGACGTCGTCGGACGTGATGTCGCGCGTTCCCCCATTTCGTTCGGGGCCGGCGGCAGCCGTCGGACTTCGAACGCCGTCCCGCGCGCGCACGGTTCCCGCGCCGGGACGGCGGCCGAACCGTTTGTATTTTCGTCCGGCGCGTCAAACGGGGGGGTTACCGTACTCGAAGGGGGGTTCCGTACCCCCACCCCCTCGGAACCGCCGCCGTCGCCGCCGCGGCCGCCGTTTCGGTCGTAATCGCGTGCCGCGCGCTTCGCGTTTATCTCGGTTTTATTACGGCGCGCGTCCCGGTCAGCTGTTTGTTGTTTTTTTTCTCGTTCTTCTTCACTCCTCGCCGAAGCGAACTCGCCGGCGGCCAATCGTCGTCGTCGTCATCGCAGACGGGCGCCTAACAATGCGATAAAGCTGCGGATTTACGACTCGACGTCGGCGTGTCCGTTTATTCGTAACGATACGCCGATCGCCGCAGTTCGATCGTCGCCGTAATTACATTGTCATTGTTTCCGTTTCTATCGATACCGCGGACCGAGTTTATCGCGCTCCTCTTCCCTCCCTCTCGCTCTCTCTCACTCTCTCTCTCTCTCTCTCCGTTTGCCGATTTTCCCGCGCGCGGAATTTCGCGTACGTCCGGACATTCGGATCCGTATAACGTTACAACATACTTACACGCGTGTCCTTTTCCGGCGGGGTTTTCGTCGTCGTAGCCGCCGGCATGGTCAGAGATAAGCCGTGCGTTTTCAGTAAGTATACGCTCGCCTAATGATATTCAGGCGTTACACTCGCGGTTCGAAATCCAAACCGCCACGCCATCATCACTAATCGTTATCGTTATCGTTATTCATACAATAATATCGTAATAAAATTACGCGGTGGCCGACCGGCCATTCGACAACGACGCGACGGCGTACGCTCCCCCCCCCCACCGTACGCCGGGCCCTTTTCGGTCCGCGCGGTTTATCGCCGAAATCTACGCGCGAAACGGACGCGTTCCGGGAGAACGAAAGTCCCGGAACCGCGGCGCCGGGAATCGCCGAACGTCGCGTCCGCCCGGGGCGCGGGCACGGTCTCACCGTGAGCGAGACGGGGCGGACGAACGAAAATCGTTTCGCAACTGTTTGGCGTGTACGCGCGCCGGCCCGTTCGCCGATTTCCGTTGTGCGTTCGCCTTCGTTCCCGGTTCGTTTGCGTGCCCGTGACGGTCGGCGCAATCGAACTTATCGGTGGAAATCGGATGGACGGGGCAGTCTAGTGTTCTAGCGGGCCGCGCGATTCGTCGACGCCCGCAAAGCACAGCGGATTCGGCTACGCGTATTCGCTATGACGGTCGCGAATGATCGCGAGGACACAATAGACTATACTGTAACGGTTAGAGGTTACCGTAACCGAAAAATACGAAAATTCAAAAATTACGTTTCGAGTGTTTTTCGGTTTTTTCGTCCGCGTCACTCGGGGGCGGTCCGTCCTATTTCAGTCACGGACCGGCATCGAATCGGATAGACTCTTTATTTTATGCTATTGTTATGGTTATAACCATAACAATTTATTTATTTATTTCTATTTTTTCCATTCCGTCCGTGTTACCGAGGTAATCCATAATTCGACAGAATTTGTTCATACGAAAAATATGCAAACACATCTCATCCCATATTTCACGGCCCTTGTGTTTTACTTCCGCGGCAAAGAGTAGCCCGTTTTCTCCGGGGTCCCATCTGTCTCTACGCGAAAATTCGTCAAAATTGTTTCAGCCGTTCTCGAGTTATAAATGGTGTACCTAACCCGACTTTGTTCTGTTTGTTTTGATTATGTGTGCGTACGTTTTCGCGCGCGCTTGAAATACGAAGTAATCAATCTTTGTTTTTTTGCGGTTTGAAACGGTTGTCCTTATTCGCCCCGTTCGTTTTTTTTTTTTTTGTTTAGCCTCAAAACATATATATAGATATGGTGTATTACCGGTGCTGCCATAACGAGCTGTTATGTCACTGTCGTTTAGACGTTCAAATCCCCCTTCGTCAACGTCTTTTTGTAGTCAATCAACGGTGTCGTCTTTATCAACGTTAGTGAAATCTGAAATTGATGTAGCTCAAGACAAACTTCTATATTTTCCACGTCATTGTAAGTATTGATGCACGAGTTGCACACAGGAAAGTCTTGACTTACTTGCAGGCACGATTTTCCCATACTACGAGAACGGCATCATTTATGATCCGCGTTTTCAAAAGTTCTCTCGTTAAATCGAATCAATATCCTTATAAAAAAAAAAAAAAAAATAACGCGAGACGAATATTTACGTTGGGTGGCAGATAATACCCGGGATAGTAACCTTTACCTACGTACAATATACGCTTCTTACGCGCCTATGCCTTTACTTTTGGCGCGCACAAATTTTGGACGAGTTAGCACGGTCAATCGCAATCACGTATAACGGAGACACGATCAATCGGGGTTCTGTTGTATTAGCTTTCCTACATAAGTTATGCCGACGAGACGTTCACATTTTTCTTCACTTCTAGACACCGTCCAAGTCCCGATTCGCGTAAACGCCCAAGACCGGCGCCCGTACCGTCCCCTTAGATCCGGTTCTGACGGTTCGACAAATAGGTACGTCTTTGGTTCTAGCCCCCCCCCTCAAAAAAAAAAAACCTTATACAGATTATTATGGCCGCACAATATACGGGGGAGACGGGATAATTAAATTATTTAAATTGCAATTTATTTCGAGCGAACCTCGCGTATACCTATTATATTGTTTAATCGTGCGCAATGTACCGACGGGCACGGGGGGGGAGTTTTTTCCCTCTAAATGTATAACATAATTAATTCTATATTGCGAATAAGGTGAAATTCATTAATGGAATATACCGCCGTTATTATTATTTTTCGAATGGCTTCCGACACACTCGGTAAACTTTTATTGACCGGCGCGTAATATTATTAACCGTACATTAGCGTACGCGCGATAATAATATTCCAAAAATTGCGGTTTCGCAATATGTTTTTCTCGTTCGCTTTCGTTTGAAAAACACAAGCCGCAATAATGCTAACCTGTACTGGGTGGTGCCGGCGTACACGGCGTACCGGGTTTCGGGGTTCATTAAAATAAAAAAAAAATCATAGTCCGCCTGAGCGGTATAACGACCATAATAATAATAATAATAATAACGGATAGGTTTTTTTAACACTCGTATGAATTTTAATTCGCATTATAATAATAGTGTGTACAATAATAATATTGTGTTGCGAACACAAAGTTTCAGAAAAAGTGGAGGAAAAAGCAAAAAAAAAAAAATTAAATTGAATTGTATAAAAAAATTAATCCGAATTGAACAAGAGACCGTAACACGCGGCATCGCGATAATAATGCGTCGCAGAGAGTAAACATAGGCGTATGCGAGCTCGTATAAATTAGGGGTGTGCGTATATTATAATATTGTAAATCGCGCTGTAAACGTAATGATATTATAATAATAACAATAATCGTAGACATTATGAAAAATCGTCGTCATAAACGGCGCGTATGACTGCACCCTCTCGCGCGAGTATTTTTTTTTTTTCACACTCGTGTCATAGAATTAAAAAATACACACATATATATACGATCGTCTCGGCGTTATTCGTTCGACTATAATATTATTATAACACGAGTAGACGAGCGTGCACTGTACACTATTAATGATAATATTTTCATTCCGCACACTTCATTAGACGGCACGGGTAAAATAATAATAATTATCGCGCGTACTTACGAAAAAAAAATCGTTTTTTTTTTATTTTTTTTCTGCATTATAAGAAGAAACGCGCGATTCGGCGCACCGCCGCTTTGCGGATCTGCGCAGCGCGTAAAACAGCGTAACGTGCGCCGCGTCCGATGATAACGACAAGCGATGCGGCGCGGGGCGCGGGAGGACCGGCGGGAAATAGACGCCGATAAAAAAACCGCGGCGTAGAAAATGTAGAAGAAAAAAAATAATAATTATTATTATTATTATTATTACGCCGCGGGGTAAACGAAATAACAATATTGACAATCGCGCGCGAAGGGCGCGAGTACGTCTGCCGCGGCGCGCACCTGCACGCGCACGTACGCATATTGCGCACGCACGTAAGGGTCGACGAGTAATTATTGTGTTTCGCGCGTTTCAATATTATTATAATACGGTTTTTTTTTTTTTTTTTAATGTTTTTTCTCTCTCTCACTCTCTCTCTCTCTCTCTGTGTGTGTATATACGTACGCACAGAGTGACGGCGACCGGCGTATAACGCGCGCGCGCGCGCGCCCGGCATTGCCCGCGCGAAAAACGCGATTCGTTTGATCTCTTTTCGCACAGCGTACGCGTTACCGCCTGTCGGTGGCGCGGTCACGTTAATAACGCCGCGGTATCGTCGCGTTTCACCGTATGCACCGTGTTATTGATCAGAAACGCGCGATACGAATCGCTTGTGAAAATACGCGAAAATAATCGCGCGTACACACGTGCGCGCGCGTATTTAATCGCGGTTTAACGATACGTACACGGCACCACCACCCCCCCCCCACCTTCCGGGCCGCAAAACCACCCCGTCGCGCGTTCGTCTCCGACTGATTCGCCGTGCCGCACGCATTGTGATTAAAAAAAAACCGCGCGCGACTCCGTGCAGGCACAGTCCAAAGCCTCGGGATGAAATAGATTATTGCGTACGCGTGCGTACGTGTAACGGCGATTCGGAATTGATTTTTCTCTCTTTCTAATTTACGCCACGATAAACACCGTAAACCCGCGAACGAACCGCGCGGTATTACCGCGGCCGCGCACGCATACTCGTAATAATACAATACGCGCCGGGCGTACCGTCAATTAATAAAAAAAAATTACGCATAGTTATCGCGCAATGTTTGCGGCGGTCGATTATTAATACGGGTACGCGTAGATGCATATTCCGTGTTCGCGGTCGTCGTGTGTATCCGTTTCGAAAAAATTGAAAAAAAAATAATAGGTATACGCACCCTTTAGTGAGGGGCTGAGATTGGGGGATGTCGAGCGTAATATAGTTTTATATGTAACGTTTCGAGTTCGAAATTACCGCGTGGACCGCGGCACTTCAAAACCGTATTTAACCGAGCTTTACTCAGAATCGTTTATCGTTAGCAACGATTCGCCATCATCACCAAAATTAATCCACTACGAGTGTATACATTATCGCCGGCTCACAATCAGTTGGACGTATCGATCGAAACGCGTATCTCTCTTTTTTTTCTCTTTTTTTTTCGACGCGCATAAACCGATTAAAACCAAATTCGCATTATTATTAATACATTTTTTTTTTTTTTTTCTAGTATATATTGTAAAATCTGTGAAATAATATTTACAATTAGCACGAGTGAAAGAAAGAGGTTAACAGTTTCGAAACACCAGGCGTGAGCGAAGAGGCCAACCGTCGTTGTTGGTACTTCAGGGGTTATTAACATTGACCAATTTATACGGAATTTACAGTTTTAAAAGTTGCAGATTCAATTGATACGGTCCTCTGATCCTAAGCCTATAATATTATAACCGACCGCAATACATTTCACCGTACGGCCGTGACAATTCGTCGACACGATTCGCCCAATCAAAACCGGTCGAAACCTGTCTCTCAAAAGTATCCGTCGAACAGCCGTTACGAGACTTTCTCACGCGCGCACGTATAATATTGTTATTAATTTTAGACTCCGAGCGGAGCTAAGTTTTACGACGATGTTTTATTTTTTTTATGTGAACACTTTTTCTACCAGAAAGCTTTCTCCGAACATCAAGTACAGCGCATTCTCCGAAAGGAAATGTTCTCCGAGTGGTACTTTAAAAAGGTAGTTTTTTGAAATTTTCATTAAAATTCGATAGAACTAGGAGAACCGAGTTCTTTAGGTTAAAAAAGATTTAATGATTAAAAATTGGTTTGTCATTGGCAACCGTTTGTATTTATTTTTTGTTATTATAAAGTTTTTATTATTGTTATCTTTTTTAAACAATCATTGTTATCGTGGAAACACACATTGTTGAATAAAAGTAGATAAATAGGTACTTTAAATTAAACTACATCGCATAAAATCTAATTTTTTTTAAATTTATAATTAATTAATTAATATTATTATGAATCAATAACAAATATGAAATTGTAGAATATTAAAATAGTTTTAATATTACACAAAAATATAGGTGTTTCCTGGGTAATTAGTTGTGTTCAATATTATGCATTATACTTTAATATGACATATATATTGTTGACGAAACATAACTTTCAACTGAACTCCACTCGGTTTTCTTGTTAGAAATGGTTTATCGTTGCTTATAGATATGCATTAAATTCCCTTCTATATCCTACTTTCCCAACTTCCCACCTACAACAGTGGCTGCACCCACGTGCGAATAGAATGCCCGTCTTTTTAATTTATTTTTTCCATGTCAGTGTTCACTTTTTTCTTTTTTTTTTCATTTCGCATTTAATTATTCGAATGCCATTGTTATTTCTGATTTCCTATCGCTCGACAAAACAAGACTTCAAAATTTCAAAAGCAAGTACCTATATATAATTACGGTGATTCTTAGCGGTATAAAAACTTTGAAATCAATTATGCATAGTGACTGCAAGTATCTACTTGTATATATACTCGATAAATTATTATATTTTTAATTATCACGTAATCAAAATGGTTGGGCGAGAGTTAGTTTTCCGACCAATTTCTGTTAGATTGAGATTTTGTATTAAAAAATTGTCTGTACCTCTTCGGAGATTCTGTTAGGAATATAAAAATGTATTACCGATGTGTTTGAAAAAATTTAGTTATTTTAACAGATATTTGTAAAATTTAAATTTGTTATTGATTTTACTAACCTAGAATGACAATTCTGATAATATATTGAACGATTAAATTTAATTTGAAGTCGAAGGCGAGGAAAACGTGATCAAACGCTCAATTTTATTTAGTGAACCTAGTGTAGTTTATCTAGTGAAAAGTTCTTAAAATATCCTCTGATGTGTATAAAAATGATACAAGAATGGATTTTTTGAGGGGTTTTAACTTTAAACCTCCGTAGTCTCTGTCATTTTTTATGCTAACAATTGTTTTTTTTCCGATAAATTATTGGTATGTATAGTATTGTATTATTTAATTATTCGGTTATTCATAATTTTACAAAGAATATTTTATGAATATGGATGGACGGGAATTTGATTCTACGGGAGTTTTTCGACGGTCCTGAGCGACGAAAAACTTTGATTATCTCGAGTGATTTTATAGGGTACCGCGGTATAAACCAAACTCGAAAGTCGTCGTCTTTTTTTTTTGTTTATGGTATTGTAAGTACGCGAAAATAAAACCGAATTAATTATAACATTAAAAGTACGCCATTATAGAGCCGCAACTCATATTATGGAAGACTGTCGGAATAAATATATTTTTTTTTTAATTGCAGTATTCCGTATTTTTAGTGTTCAATACTGCAATCGTGTGCAAGAAATAACGGTGTCTAATTACGAAACAACTCAGAGGGGGGCTTGCAGCTTTTGTATTATACGATATACGCGTAAAAAATATATATATTTTATAAATGTAGATGAGAGTCATTTGATGTCGGCGTGTAATTAGAAAAAAAAAAAATCGAATTTCGACTGGCGTATTCTTTTTCGTCGCTCCCCTCTCACAATGCAGCGGTCGTATATACGCATATAATATCCAAAATATCAAAAGGAAAAAATCAATTTCACTGGTGCGGGGTGTAATATTGTAGGTACCTGCTATACACATGCAGTAGTGCAGTTTAACAAACGTTGCAGAAAAAAAACGACGTTAACATCGTCGTTATCCCGATAAAACGATATTATAGTCTTTTTGAAACTCGAGAAAATCTCTCAGAGACATAAACACGAGTATAAATATATATAAAAAAGAAAAGAGCTGATACACTGTTGACGGGTATGCCACTGCTGTAGCCTGTAAATGAGAAATGAAAAAGTTGGGAAAGTTATTTAATTTATATCTGTACGCAACGATAAATTGTCATTGCTACTGAAAAACGATTCTGAGAGAAATTCGTTTATTTTGGCATGTTTTAAAATACTGAGAATTTCACGGATTTTCATAAAAATTTGAACTTTAAACGGTTATAAAAAGAACGACATTCGTGGTATAACGCTCAAATTTGCTTTTTCAACCATCGAGCAAATCTTATGAAAAACCTCGTGTTAAATTTTCGAGCATTTTTCCTAAACAATTATTTTACCCACAAAACTTTTAAAAAACTCGATAATTTCAAATAATTGTACATAGCTTCGAAAATTTCCGAAATTTTTGAGGAATTTTATCATGCCTATAGAAAAGGCTGATATAAGAGTTCAGTGAACGTTTTTGATGGAACTACGCATCGAAAATAACAGAAACCATTATTGTGTAAATCGTCCCGTTTTCCCTCGATTATTAATAAAACTACGTGGACAAATTAAAAAATAACCTCGCCAATGTATTAACGAGACAAAATTTTACATCCCTAAAATTAACGATCAGACCAAGAACTTTGATGGGATATTTGTTAACAGACAGAAAAAAAAATACATCATACTATAACAAGTGTTTATTCGTTATTCACTATCCAATAATATAAATTTTACTCGCTGCGCTCAGAATCTAAATATACAGTTCAAATATAATCCGTGTATTACAATATTACATAAAGATAATTATCATGTAATTGATACGCACGGTTTCTGGAGAAAAAGCCCGCACTGATCGGAAAATAAATAAACAATTAATGCCGATAATGTTATTTATTTTTATAACATGTTTTTTACCGAATCCACCCGAGGGGATAAAAAAATACGCATAAATATTTCCATAGTATTTTTAATGTTTATTTTATTTTCCATGTTTTTTTTCCTATCGCATGCAGGGAGTGTCTGAGTATACGCTTTATAGGAGGAACTTGGGATTACTTGACGGGGGTGGGGGGGGACTATGTCAATAGTCAACACCCCTACCAAAAATGTCGAATTTAGCTAATTTTTATTTCAATGTCTCACCATAATGTATAGGGCCAGTGGAAATTTGTTTTATGCTCTACAAAGTTCTACTCAGAGATGTAAATTGTATTGATAGGTCTTGATATAATTATAATATATGTCTCGTATAAAAAATAATAACAATAAACTAATCATTTATTAGTTTTAATTATTTTGCTATGTGATCAAACTGTAACTATAGTCTATACTTTTCAAAATGTTTTATTAAAAATATTTAATATTGCTGGTACGTTTTACTTGTCGTCACTTGTTAGTTATCGACATAAAAATTAGAATTCATTGTAACTGAGTGTACATAAGTGTAGACGATAAGAAGTATATTGTAATTATTTAAAGATCGAAAATACAATATATTAGTATAAAACATGCAATGAAATTGAATAAAAAAAAATTCAGAATTTTGATTGACTAAGAATTCGTTTATAAAACGATGCATTTGGCATTTAAAAACATAATATACAGTCGAACTTTTTTCAGAATCGTATTTCGTTAGCATTGATGTGATTTGTAGCTATTTTGATGACGTGCGCAAATTCTCAGTTTTTTTCGTTCGTTTATTCGTCTAACTTTCTGTACAGTAAAATATCATTGTATACGGTATTAAAAAATAGGTAGTTTTACTGTATTTGTTATTTTTAAAAAACGTTTACAAAAATATTTTCTATTGTTATTTGTTTAATAAACACGTTCCGAATATTATGACGTGCGTGACGTATACATTGCACTATAGTAGTAGGTACACCAGTGACCGCGCGATGTGGTTTTTTATTTTCGCCATTCAAAAATTTGTCGAATATATTACATAAGAGCTACCTATACCTACCTAAACAATATTATTGCGAGTATAATATAATATATAAAGCCATAGAACGACGAAAAATATATTTTTTTTTCTCATGTGAAAATAACACACATGTCTACATATAGGTACAGGTGTATTATTTCGAGGAGGAATAAAAACGCGTTTCTCGTATAAGGTTTAAATTATGTTATAGGTTTTATTAGCTTATTTTTTCGGGCACGTATACTCGAATGTAAAAAAAAAAAAAGTTTCGTTTTTCGCACGGATATAATAATATCTGTTTTATAATTTCTACGCATCTATAACCTGCGCATCGATCGGTTTGGAAATAATACTGTACTGTATTATTTCGGAGCACGCTCCGACGGTATTCGTATAAAAATATACTTTCCTAGAAAAATAATATAATAATACAGTGTACACCTCAATAAAAACCTCATCTCAATAATATCATAAAAAATAGCAAACCAACGAATAATCCATAAACTAAATTACCACCTAACTGCGTGCGACCTACACCCGCAAAGGGGTACGAAGTGTGTCCAGCTTCTTTTTTTGTTTAATATACGAACTCGGTCCGGATTAAGAGGAGGGCTCATGAAGGGGCACCACAAGACTCCAAATGCCTACGTTTTCGCCACAGCATAAACATATGTCTATGTTGGATAAAATTGTTTTGACCCATCAGAAATGCTTGGTAATTGAGAAAAAAAATAAATAAAAGACGGACATACTTCACACGGTGGGTGGGCTATTGTTGTAGGTGAGAAATTGGGAAGATAGGATATAGGTGTAAATTGTATTTATATCTGTGCGCAACGATAAATAATTGCCGACGAAAAACGATTTGATGCAAAGTTTTTTTTGTACATATACGTGAATTTCCCATTTTTCTTAGGTTTTTTCCAAATATTATGATAATTGCTTAGAAAATCAAAAAATCACCTCCTTAGTACCACACAGATAAAATTTCCTTTAAAAAAAAGGTACTATACTTGAAAATCAAAGCATGATTTCTGGTAGAAAAATGTTCCACGGATACAAAAAAAAAAAAAAACATCATTGTAAAACTTATACATTATTCTTCACTATGTTCCGGACCCAAATTCAAAAAATTGAACGAAATGAAGTTTTTTTTTTTAACGCATTTTAAGTTCAAATTGAATGTAAATCGTAAAAGTCTTGCAGTTATCTAGTGCCGAGAGTTTGTATATACACGAAGGTAAACATGTTCGACCAAAAAAAGTGAAAATCGAGACAGAGCAAAACCGTTCTTAATGCCTACATACACGTATGTATCGCGAAAAACACACGAAACTAATTAAAATTATAAATATACATATATATATATAGGAGCGGTGTGCGTTTTTTGCGGGTTTTGCATCGTGTTATGTGCACAATAAGCGATTGTAATATTTCGTTTTACTGTCGGTTTTCTAGGAAACGTAGTCCGATTAAAAAAAAAAAAAAAACCCGTCAAAAATACGGAGTTCAATTATTACTCTCAGTAATTATTCATGCACAATTATATTTATGAAAGCATTCACGATATATGTATATACAGGGTGTTTCTGAAACGAAAGAGGAAACCGCATAATATTGCACAATCTATAGTTATCGCGATGATGCTCTGCATACTGCAGTGTCTGAATGACGATCTTTTTGGAATTACATCACCCCATCCCCCTCCCCGTCGCCGACACCTCGCGTTTCATCGATTTGTTTTTACGCGTAATTATCTCGCGGTATATAATGTGTATAAAACATAAAATACTCAAACGATATTTTTACCGCTGGCCAAAGTCCTCGTACGAACCGATAATAACATTATCACGTACCTTGCACTTTTTTCGCATAGTTTTTCGGACGATACGAGCATCAAAAACGCGAGACAAAGTACAAGTGCAAAAACGACGTCCACCTATCGATTCGTCCAAACGAGAATTTCGTAGGTCAGTAGTATGATCATTGTCGATAAATAATATTATACGTATAAGGTAACGTAACGATACAACAAGGGTTTTGAATGTGTAATCGGAGATCCGATACCCTTTTTGGTGGGAGGGAGTCGATCGAATAGCCATGTTAATACAATGTTTTAAACTGGCTTGGGTATATATTTCTACACTATAAGAATCTCGTTGCACTTGGTATACGCGCAAGGACCTCTTCTCTGTTCCCCTACGAGAATTCCGTATACTCTGTCACGTTTCAACAGAAAAAAAAAAAAAAAAAATGTGGTATTGCCAATTACAAAAGTTCGTTTTCGCGGTTTTCATTACTGCCGTCTCGATATTTTAAAATCGCGTTACCTTCATTCGGTTAACTTATCTCCATCACTTTGGGTCATACAAAAAAACACACATTAATTTAGACGGGTGCTTTGGAGTCTAATCCACCAAGTACCCCCCGACCTCGGTCTGTATTCCAAATAATAAAAAATAAAATACACGCATTGTTTGATATATTATTTTATTATTAATTATTATAAGTTCCCCGTTTATTTCACAAACATTCTGTATGAACGGTATTTTTTTACTTCGCGATACCGTGTACGCATAATATTATTTACCACCATAGCCATATTATAACTATACGAAAATAACAGCTGCAGCTTCGGTCTCGAAATATTCCGTAGTTCTCGGAGAACTGACTTTTGCAATATCGAACTTATCAAACACACACAATATACTCATGATGATATTGTAACGTAATAATATTCGGTCCCGGCCATCGTCGCGGAATGTTATAATAGCGTATCGCGTATAGCCGTCGTCTTATTATAGTTTTTTTTGTTTTTTTTTTAATTATTCTTTCGTCGTCGGACCGATTTTTTTTACTCAATTGATACTCGCGCGACCGTTGACGAGACGGCGACGGTCAGTATGTACGGTACTACAGTGACGGGCGTTTTCCCGGTAAATATTTTTTCGGCTAAATTTATTTTTAATCCAAAAACCAATTCGCGGTCGCTACAAAACTCCGTTATGATTGTTTCCTGACTCTCCCGTGGTTTTTCCAGACGAGACTGTTGTATCAGAGTAAATAAATAATATTTATAAAGTTTTCGTTAGTTACATTCAGTTCGAATTTAATACCCCTTTTAAGAGAAAAAATGTAACAACGTGAAAACAGTGACTTGATCTTTGTTCACAAAAAAAAAAAAAAAAAAACAAATATAAATACAAATTTAAAAAACCTATACAAAAGGGTTTTGTATAAACCCTTTTATTACAATCGGTCTTCTTTTATATTTGCTTTATTTTACTAAAAAGTTACGTCCAGACTGGATAAAAAAAAAATAAAACCAAGTATTTACCCGAATTTCGGATAGGTAAATAAAACTACGGGTAAATACCCTAAATATTTACCTACCCATCGGGTGTTTGGCGCCGCGCGCTTTTCGCCCATTACCTTTTTCGTGCCATTTTCGCCCGTTATCGAAATCTTTACCTACTGAAATCATATAAGGCGGACTATTCACTCGAAATTCAAAACTGTGTAAAATTAATATTATTAATTTATTTGTTTATTGAATAAACGCCCGTAGACTTAAGTACGGTGCAGTATAAAATATAATTAACGTAGAATGAAACGACGAATTGTTAAAAATTAAAAATGACAAATAAAAAGACGATAATGGGGGCGCAAAATGCCCGGTCGCATTGTGCACGCCACCGGGTATACCCGCGGCACATCAATGAACGAGTTACGAGTATACACAGTGCGGTTTAATAATTTTATAGTAGTAAACCTTAAATCGCGTGTAGTTTTTTTTTTCTTTTTAAATAATGGCTCGTTCGACCGGCGATTTATTTTTTCTACCAACGGTATCACAAACGCTGACTATGAACTTGAACGGAAGGTTACAACAGTTCGATTTTGGCGGGAAATCCTCGGGTTATGAACTGCGAACGATTCAACACGCCAGCTATGTATGCAATATATTATACGCACAACTGTGAACAACGCGACTCGAGGTTTTCACAAGAAAATATATTGTAGTTTATATTACGGTGCAATCTGAACGTATAGAGTTTGCAAAACGGCGATAAAAACAACCGGACGTAATTCGTACGATGGGTGGGCCACTGTTGTCGGCGAGAATCCGGGAAGACAGACGAGGAATTTAATGTTTATATCTGTACGCGACGATTAATCATTGCTAACAAAAACCGATACCGAACGGAGTCCGGTTGTACGTGTATTGAAACGCCGTATATTTACGATTTGAAAACAATACTTTTCGTAAATTTCCCCGTTTTTCCCCGTTTATTACGAAAACTCCTAGGAAAATCGAAAAATGTGCTTGTTAAAATGTACCACGCCGGTCAGATTTCCTTTCAGGAAAAAGTGCTACACTTGAAAATCGGAGTTTGAATTTCATGTAGAAAAATTGTTCACAAGAAAAAAAATAAATAAAATAGAAATCATGAAAACGAACATGGTATTGTAAAACCAATACGTCAATCGCTCCGCTCAGAGTTTACAAAAAAACAAATCTCGTCCAGCTCGAGTTCATTCGCGAAAACTCGGGAAAAATTCGTTCTTGTCGCCGAACATTACGTAGTTTTTTCGCGCGAGTGTAACGTACCTATTATGTTATTATATCGTACACCTAAATAATAATATTATTATATTTTTATCGCGTCTTCGGGCGAAAACGAGAACAACATAATATTACGCTGTACTCAATGTAACGGACGAGACGAACGCTGCACGTGTGATTGTGAAATAAAAAAAAAAAAAAAAATTATATTGAAAAAAAAAAACCGCACCGCGCACGTAATAAATATTACGCGCGTACCGTAATAATAATAACACTATCATAATAATATTTGCATCGTCGCGTCGTCGTCGTCGTCGTTCTCATCTCGTGATCCGTTGTGTCTGGCGAGTTTTCAACCAGTTACCGGGTTACGCGGCTGTCGTATCACCGCGATTGTCGGACGTGTTTATCGTGTTGTTGCGCACGCGTCCGCGCGATTTTCGTTCCGGCATTACGGATAGGTTAGAAACGATAACAATTTTACGATCGTTTCCGCATGTGCGGATGTTATTTTGCGTTACGGAATTCAATAACCGCGCGTATTTATCAAATGGCCCGCGCATATTTTTAATTGTCCGCGGGGGTTTCCGCCCCCCCCCACGATTCGATAAAACGGCGAGAACGTACGCCCGCGCGTTATTTTAGATTCCGAGCGGAGCCAGGGAGCTATTGGTTTTGCTGAGATGTTTGTATTTTCCTTTTTCTTTGTTCCAGTCCGCGGACACGTTACGTGTAACAATCTTTCCGAAAGCTCGAATCGTCTAAATTGTATCTTAGAGAGGTCGTTTTTTTCTGATTTTCGACGCCATTTTTTAAATAAAAGCACTCATGTGGGGGGAAAAAAAAACGTAGGAAAACGTACAATTTCACGATTTCATTATTTTATAAATACACGTAGAGACTGGAAACTCGGTAATAATACTTGTATTGGACTTACCCGGGCGCGGTAAAATTTCCAAAATCATCGGACGACTTTTTTCTTTTTTTTTTTTTTCAACAAGCGTTTTGAAATCAAATTTAAACGAAAATCGCGAAAACGATTTACTACCGAACTGGGCTTCCGAAATCGTCGCTCGTCGAGCAATGCTTACAGATATGAACGGAATAACCTTACGTATCCTACCGTCCCCAACTTCTCACCTACAACAGTGGCCGCTCCCGTCCCCAGTATATCGGCTCTTTTTTCTTCCCGCCCGTCTGTGTTTAGCGCGTTGTGCGTCCGGCCCGCAACACCGCGGTAAGGGGGTGGGGGGGGAAACGACGAAAATAAATCGGCGGCGGCGGTGTTGCATCTGTTTCACCCTGTACGTGCACTTGCCGCCGCCGTCGGTCGGTCGCCGTTGCGCTCATATAAGAGCCAGACGCGCCGCCGATAACGCGCGGCCTCGGGTAACGGGCGATGCGCCGGGGGAGCGGGCGGGCCGCGGCGGCGATCGATCAACGAAATTCTTTTTTCGCGGCGGCGGCGGCGGCGGCGGCGGAGGCCGTTTAATTTTCGTTGGCGGCGGCATTTTTTTTTTTTTTTTTTCGGTTACGCACCGGACGCCGCGCCGCCGCCGCCACCCGCCGCACGCCGCCGCCGTTCTTGGTGGCCCGTAACCCGCCGTCGCCCGCCGCCCCGCCGCGCCGTCGCTCCCATCGTTTTGGGGCGGCGACGGTGGTGGCGGCGGCGAGAAGATGCAAATTCGCCGGGAATTTTATCGACGTGGGCCTACGCCGCCGCCGCCGCCGCCGCCGTTCGCTATCGGCACCAGACGGCGGCGCGGCGTTGGCAGACGGACCGGCGGCGAGTGGCGGTGTGCGCGCGCGGGGCACCGTGTGCGAGACGACAAAGAAAAGCCCAGCTAAATTCGGCAACCACGCGGCGCGCCACCCCGTCGTACATACGTATATATACACGATGCACATAATGCAAGCCTACGTATACACGTATAGAGTGCAGCGTGTATATATATACACACACACACACACGCGTAGCGCGCACACAACGGCGCCGCTCGGCACTGCACTCCTACTCCGGTGTCGCCGCCGTGACCCTTCAGAACAATGTCTGAACGCGGTGCATTTCGAGTGTTTGAAAAAATAAAAGCAGGGGCGACGTATCCGCCGTCGCGCTGTACAGAAGAGGTAGGAGGGTTGTCACGCCGCCGCCGCCGGAGAAAAAAAAAAAAACAAGTAATAATAATAATGAAATGCAAAACGAGGGGAATCGTTTTCGGGCGATTCGCGAAAACTGTAACGGGGGAAAGGAGAAAAAAAAAAAATGAGAATCGTTAGACGGACGTGTCTGGAAGAACAGCGTTATTAAAATTACGTACATTTGTGTACATGTGTGTGTGTGTGTGTGTGTGTGTGTGCACGCGCGTTTGCGTTCCCCGCCGTTACCGCTGCATTATACGCACGTCTGCCGTCGCCCGGCCCGACGGTTTTCGCGCGCACGACGGACGACGTCGCGTCGCGTCGCGCCCGTAACGTTTTATCGCGCCGCGTGTCCTGCCGAAAAACACAGCGCGCGATACGTACCGGGGAACGGCGGACCGTGCGGTTGCAACGTCAACGGGAAAACGCGTTCCGCCCGTTGACGCGCGGCGGCCGGAGGAGAAAAACTTTCCGGGGGGCCTTGGCGTTGGAACGACGGCATTCGAATCGCATTCGACCGTCGCGTTTGGGACGTATGCCCGACACGATCGCCGTAAGGCCACGAGGGCGGTGGTTTTTTATTATTTTTTTTTTTCTGAATTGTTATTTTTTCTTTTATTTACAATTTCGGTGCCCTTACAGCATGGGCGCTTTATGCGTGGTTTCGAATTGAATATTTGATCGTGTGCTACGCGTAACGTGCGATACGAGCGTATAACACGTGCGGCGCGGACCGCGGTGCGAGGGGCGTAACGGTTTTTTCGGGAAATTCGCGTGCCGCGTTCCGCCGTTTCACCCCGCCGCCCCCCACACCCCCGGAGACGCGTGCCAGACGGCCGCCGCCGCCGCCGCCGCCGCCGAGTCGACGTGAAAATCGGCCTCGTACGCGCGTGTGTAAAAATAAGTTTGGAAAAAAAAAGCGCCGGTCGCGTGCGTATATACGGCTCGGCGGCGGCGGTGAGGGGAGACTGCAGCGGCGTATTTTGGCGGCGTGGCGACCCGGCTAGACCCGGAGTATTGATTATCTTCCCCTTTTTTTTTTTTTTTTTTTTTCGGTTGCTAAGTGATTACAAAAAAAAAAAAAAAAAAATAATAAAAAATTTCGGCCGGACGAAACGGGTATAAGGTGGGGAGTGAACGGGGACAGGAAAAAAAAAAAAACGGAAGTCGACCGAGGCCGGCGGGGGCGCCCCCGTATATTTATACTGTACTGCACTACAGTACTCTGTGCACGCCGCGCCGCCGCTTGCAATATTATTATGTGTACCGCCGTCGCCGTGCACCGGTACGGACGGTGGGGGACGAATGCAACTACGTGTTGCATCACGACGTCCCCGCCCGCCCGCCGGCCCGTGACGTCACCGCCGAAGAACGCGTCCTGCGAATTACACGCAAACACACACACACACCCACACACACACGCGCGCGCACACGCACCGCGTCCGTAAATTCGCGCCGCGCAAATACGACGCGGACACACACACGCGAGCACACGATCCCGAGCACACGATACGTTGCATATATACACGCCGGATCACTGCCGCGCGGTGTCGTAATATACTCGCGCGACCGTCCGCCGTGCACGCGTACCGTCGCCGTCTGCGCGCGTACGTCCCGCCGACCGATTGACACAGGCGACAGAGGCGTGCGAGACAGCGTGCTCACGTTACGTTACGCGCCGCGGTGTCCGAAACGCAAACAACAATATAATTATTAAACAGCGGCGCCGTCGTCGTCGTCGTCGTACCCGCCCGTCGCGCCGCGCACCGCACAGTGCGATTATCGCGCGGCGCAGCAGACGATGCAGTTGCAACGGCGCACGGCCGTCGGATTCGGCGGCGGCCAGTGCCCGAACGCCGCGGCGCACGACCGGCAAGCGGTCAGGAAACACTTGCGCCGGTGGTCGCACAACATGGTCCTCATCATCGGTAAGTACACTCGCGGCCGCGTCCGTTTCAAAACCGTAATAACGATAATAACAATAACGATAATGTACGCCGTGTAGCGCGGCGCGCGCGCGCGTGTGTTTGTGTGTTTGTGCGTGTGTGTGTGTGTGTGTGTGTGTGTGTGCGCGCCGTGAAAACACGACCTACCTCAACGCGATTCGCGTTGCGTAACGCAGTGCCATTATGGTGCGATTTCGCAGTTTTCTGCACGTTGGCCGGCGTTATTCCGCGGCGATTCCGGCGTTTCTGTCGTCCGCCCGGGCCGGCCGCGATCGATTATTCCGCCCGCGTTCGTTTCGGGTTTCGGTCCTTTTTATTTTCGTTTTTATACGTTTTTTTTTTTTTTCCCCGTCCGGGCGTAAATAAAACGCACCGCGCACGCACACTGGTCAATCCGAGTAGGCCGAGGGTAGGCGCGCGCGATGCGTTCGCGGCGGCGGCGGCGGCGGCGGCGGTGGCGGCGTACCAGTGTGTTTGTGTGTTGTGTACATACAGACGACGTCGGCGGTGGGGGCGGCCGTGCCTGTGGCGGCGGCGGCGGCGGCGTCGGCGGTGGTGGTGGTGGCAGACGGGGGCGCGGTGGCGACGACGACGCCGCCGTCAGGGTCGACGCGGCGTGGTGCGGCGGGGTTTTATAGGAAATGCACCGTGGGCCGGCGGCGGGGCGGGGCGTGAGACGAAAAAAAAAAAACCGCGGCCGGGGGTGCCGCCACCGCCGCCGGTGCCCCACCGCTGCTCCCCCGCGTGGCGGCGACTGCGGTTCGGCCGTCTTCGGCGCCCGGCATCGTACGCATCGGACGTCTTCGTGATTCCCGCCACCACGTCCACCGGCCGGGAGCGCGCGGTGCCGGCCGGCCGGCCCTTATGGTGGGGGGCCGGCGGACGGGCGTGCGTTTGTGCGCGCCGGGCGGCGGCGGCGGCGACGACGACGGCGACGGCGACGACGACGACGACGACGGCGGCGGCGGCGGCGAAATGCAGTTTTTCGACAGCCTAATGCATGTTGCACATTTCGTGTTCTCCAAGGACGACGGCCCGACCAACCTAAATGAGCGGTCCTCCTGCATTCAGATGCACTGTGCTCGGATGCACCAACGGGCGGTCGCAA